TTCTTCAGAAAAGTCTGGAAAAAGTCATCTGTCTAATGACTCTTTAAGATTTGAGTAGACCCAATTCTAGAAATACTTTGGCTGCATAAAGCTATCTTTGGACGGTATTCTATAAACTGGTACTCTTTGCAATAGTATCCATTTTAGTATGATTTGAGATCTTTTGTCCCTCTAGCTTCTACATTGATGACACAACAGCTATTTTGATGAGATGTCTAGATTAATGTCACTATTATCCAATGTACTATGTGTTTTTCATCTTAATTTTCTCTTAAGCTATGTTTCATTGAGGACATCAAGAATAGGTTGCACCTTTGGTGGAATCTCTCTCTCTAGCAACTTCACTATGACTAATAACAAAATGTAACGAGCTACAATGAAGTGACTATTTTTGTCCTGTGGATATTTGGAAGGCAAGTGAAGAATACTGCCGTTTATTGATTATTATTAATAAAATGGCTATGCATGCAACTGTTATTTGATTCCAAGTATTTGTTATTACATTAACAAATTGTTGTCAAGTGTCAGTGATACTGCAGCATCAAGAAATATACAATAAACAGGGCCTGTAATTTTAACATATATTAGGCGGCCAGTTTGAATCACATTAACCCATCACTAGCCTCAATCATTAATTATCTGAGTGTTTCCAATCCCTGTATACTGTATCTATGATATGATTAACCTAACCACAAAATGTAATTAATAAATTTCAGAAAAAAGAATGGAAAAAAGTGAATAAAAAACATTAAAAGTGGAAAAGTAGTAGGATTGAATTCGGAAAAAGTAAAAAAACAAGGGGACTTGCAAACTAGTGTGATAAAAATCCTACACCACTGCATGAAAAACATTGTTTTATAGTTGTAATTAAAATGCTTTTGGGTAATGTTATTGATGCATAAGATCCAAAAACAATATACTCTACTTGATACTAATAACACAACCTGCAGAACAACATAATTAATAAGAAATAACTAGATGAATGCAGGGCATTTGGGGTGAACCTGAGCAAGCATTTGTTATAATGAGGAAGCATTTGTTATTATAATTATCATTATTGTCAAATTTTATTTTTCAATTGCTGTTCTCTCTCAGCAGGATCCTCTTGCTCTCTCCTCAGTGTAACTCGAGCTGTTTCATCTGCTAATCGCTGTTCTCTCTCAGCAGGATCCTCTTGCTCTCTACTCAGTGCAACTTGAGCCCTATCCAGGGGCGTAGCTGAGGTAGGGCCTGAGGGGGCCTGGGCCCTACCATCAAAGTGGCCTTATAATTATATTCATTGAAATTATAACCCAAAAGATTATATTCATTGTTTTTACAATAACAAAAGGGGGTGGCTGATAACCACAGCTCTTTTTAAAGATATATACAATGATAATTTCACTCTGATTTCGCTCAGCTTGCAGGAAAATGCTTCCATTTTGTTACGTAAAAGGGGTGTGGCCAAAATTGCGGCGTGCTTCGCGCGCCATTTTGTCTCCTTGCCCTACCATCACCCAAGGTCCAGCTACGCCCCTGGCCCTATCACCTGCTAATTGCTGTTGTCTCTCAGCAGGCTCTTGCTCTCTCTTCAGTGTAACTCGAGCTCTTTCACATTCTCATCACTGTTCTCTCACAGAAGCTTCCTCTTGTTCTCTTATCCTTTGTATCCTGGCTCTTTCTTGAAGCAGGTGATCTTTGTAATGCAGGAGACTCCATCTGTTGTCTTCGGGCCTGATGAGCCCTATCTTTAGCATTTCTCTTGTTCCTCCTCGCTCTTTTCTCCTCCATTTCGCTCCTCCTTTCTCTATCACACTCGTTTCGATGAAGTCTACGAGCTTCATGAACATCTTATTGTGACTTACTCATGTTTTAAGCTTCTCTTGTTTCTAAAAAAATAAGTGTTTTCAACTTTTCTCTTGAAGTGATTTGTACTCTTAGCATGTGGTACTGTATTTATCAAAAATGTCATTTTAAAAACATGTAATAATATTGTATTAACGCATAAAGAGGGGGTGACGTATGTGTACAAACAGACAAAAAAACAAATATATGTGTGTCATTTATGTGAGGCTCACTCAGGCTCGCCCCTATTATAGATTTTAAAAATTACAGAATGATGTTTTTAACAAGCAGTTTTGATGCAAAAACGTACTGTATTTAAATTTCATGCAAAATTTTCATTACTACAATATAATTGAATACCTTGGCCACCTTCAGAATTATTACTACTGCACCTGTAATGAACTTACATTAAATTGAGAGGAAAACATGGCTCTTTTCAAGTACAGTTCGTCCTCAATTATCTATATCTCTTTTGTCGGAACAGTCGTTTATCCGAACGCATGCTTCTTTTTAATGCGCATGCTCAGACTAGTTAATTAAGTAATAACTGGTTAAAATGGCTGCTTCAGCAAGCAGCTCACATAGCTTAACCAAAAGAAATACCATGAAAGACAAACCTGAGATGCTTTATGAGTTGGGGAAAGGAAAGTCATACACATTTACTCTTCAAAATGTATAAGATAGGTAAGTATACTGTATTCTGTGCTGTATTTCACTTATCCAGCTCTCTGAACATTTCTCCAAATAAAGGAGCACAAAGGTGTTTGAATAATTGACGATGTACTGTAGTACATGGGAACACACAAGTACAACAATAAATAAACAAGGAGTGTAAATATTACAACTAAAACCTTATCATTGCAGCAAATACTACATAGAATTAGGAGTAGTGACTAATGAAACTGATTTAACACAGTCATCATTGCTATGAAACAGTCACAATGAAGCTATTGTTGGTCCATTAAAAATCTTATTGTGCAAGCTGTGTAGTTCTAATTGCGTCAATGCTCTATTTAATTTAAAATTATAGCCATTTAATGGATACATGTTTGTTTCTATAATGCTAGCTCATCAAGTAATAACATAAAAATTGCTTTTGCACACACACTTATTAACCACTTAAGTTCTGTTGCTCATAATAGGATAATTGATGGTTATATAGAAGGATAATTAAGCACTGTTTCAGGTTTTTGATGTAGTTCTAATATTTACGAAATATGTATACAAATTTGCATACTAATAAAATAGTGGAATTGATTCAAAAATGACAATAATGCAAATACTTGTACATTATTTGTCCATACCGTCTATCTTGTATAACTGCTCCGCTATTTTTCTTATCTTTTTTGCTCTTTTATCTGGATTTGTGTGATGATAGTTATGACTCAATTTAACGGTACAAAAAATGTAACTGTGAAAACGATGTGACATTATGTTGCTCAGATTTGAAAAAATCAAAGCCTACAAATGGACAAATGTCTTTTAAAGTCAATTAGTACATGCGTATTGATACAATGTAACTGATGAAAATATTATTTCTATTGCATTGTGCCACTTTTATGCTTTTTAGGTACTTACGTGAACAATGGAGCAAATGAAAATGGTACAATCACTTCATTGCAATGAATAATTGTAATAAAATAGTCGATTCTTAAATTATTCAAGGTTCAAGTGACCATTATAAATGACTCCCTCTCTAGGTTAAACTTGATCAAAGTTACTGAACAGTTACTTATGCAAGTGTCTAATTTTTTAGCAGGACATCATTGTCACTTTATGACTGGATCAGTGCCAGTGGAACGGAACAATGCTGTTTATTTCCTTTAGCATAATGGAATTATAAATTTTTATAAATTGTGACCATAATTTACAAAAGGGCCCTAAAGGAACAAAAATTCAATGTTGAGATAAATGTATGAAATTTTAAAGCAAGCTTTGCTGGTCCAATTCACAAAGGTTTAACCTCAATCTGCCTTTTGGTTGCTCAGTTACAGCCAGGATTTATTATACTACCATACCAGAATGGGTAACGGGATCACGTGAGCACATTATTTCATAATACAAAGTTTTCACAATTTGTGTTGTCATTTTAAAGATTGCCGCTTCTCTCAAGAGACAAATGTTTCTGTTTCTTAACTGCAGGGCTCTTGAATGGTCTATAAAAATTAACATACCTTAAAAGTAAGTTTAGGATAGCAAAATTTCATTTTGATATATATTTCTGCCCACTTTCACATTGCTATAGCAGTGGCATCACACTTTTACTTTTATACCTCCTCTCACACATACCAACCCTCATGCATTAGGCGTGAGTTTCACTCTTTGAAGGTTCTTCTCACTCTCACGCATAGAAGGCTCAGAACTCACGCATTCCAGTATTGAAGGAAGCCCACACCCTTTGCCACACCTTCTTTTATTGATTACTTAATTAAAATAATTGATTGTAAATGAATATTAATGAATTGGAAATATTAATGACTATGACGTCATGATTAATATTAATAATGCTTAATGAATAATATAAAGACAGCTACAGTCCACTAGTCTACTAACTAGTCTTGTAGTCTACACTGTTGCAGCTGGAGCTCCTTATGATATTGTAACCCCAATTTTGAATATGAAAAGAACTGTGTCAACTAGGAGTGACTTGGATGACAGTGAAGAGGCTTCTAGGAGTAGCACTTCAGCTAGCAAGAGATGGAGTGGAGCTGCAATTTATAAAACTAAGTTTCAGGAATCCTGGATAAAGAAATGGCCATTTGTGCAACCAGTAAAAACTAACATTCACCAATTTTACTGTACTACATGCTCCAAAAACATCTCCTGTGGACATCACGGAGAAGCGGATAATGTTAGGCATTCCTCTTCAGAGCAACATAAATCAAATGCTAAAAGCCTTAGAGATAATACCAAGCTCAACTTCCAGCCAGTAAACCAAGAATTAACAGAGCAGATAAATTTTAAATACATGCAAAAACATAATTTATACTGACTTTGATATTTAACAGATCACTAAGGCTGAGGTCAAAGTGACAAATTTACTTGTCCAACATAATGTCCCTTTAGCAGTGACTGATCATCTAAGTCCACTTTTCAGAGACATCTTCACAGACAGCAAAATAGCAAAGGGTTATGCTTCAGCTCGACCACACTTCATGGCTACTCTAGTCGACACTATGAGGTGTAGTCCATTCTCTGTTGCAATCAATGGATCAAATGATAATGGCCTTGAAAAGATGAATCCCCTTACAGTTAGATTTTTTGATGAAGGGAGTGGTCTTGTTGTGACTAATCTTCTGGACATGTGTCTTACTACAGGTAAGTAGGTAACAAATACAGGGACATTGTAATGATACCTTAAAGGTGTTCATGCAGGCAAGGCAGAGTCAATATTCACTAAGATGAATGAGGTCTCTACCAATAATGGTGTGTCTTGGGACCATTGCATTGGTGCAGGAGTCGAAAACACCTCAGTCAACCTTGGAGTGAGAAACTCTATAAGGACTAGAGTACTACAGAAAAACCCTAATACTTATTTTATGGGTTGTCCTTGCCACATAGTCCACAATACTGCATTTAAAGCTTGCTCCAAGTTTGCAGAGGTAATGTCATTTAAATGATTCGGGACACTATATACACCTTTTATTTGTAGCTTACCAAGTTTGATGTTGAAGACCTACTCGTTGATAATTACTTTTATTTCGATAAAAGTACTAAAAGGAAGAACGGCCTAGCCAAATTTTGTGCTTTCTGTGACAGCCAATACAAGGGTCTTATTAAACATGTCAATACTCGATGGCTAAGCTTAAGCACAGCTGTTGAGAGAACCCTCACCCAGTATGCAGGACTCAGGTCGTACTTTTCCTCTCTAGGTATTAATAATTAAAATGAATATAATAATGTTATAGTATGTTACCTTGTAGACGAGACCAATAATAGATTCCAGAGATTACGTTAGCTTTACACTAACCCTATGACAGAGGTCTGCCTATACTTTTATCAGGCTTGTCTCCAACCTTTTGTCCATCTTAATACATTGCTACAACGTAACGACCCTATAATTGGTATAGTAGCTAACCAGCTTATAAAATGCCTCAAGACTCTCCTGGGTAAATTTGTATGCGTGAGTTCCATCAAAGAGGCAGACCACCTAACAACTGTATCATATACTACTAGAGATAATCAATTAGATGGTATGCATAACTTAATATTGTAACTTAAATTATTACCATAATTCACTGTACATAGACAATGCCTTACACATTGGATTCTCCACAAGGTCATTGCTTCATAAACTACTGGATGAGGGTGACATTTCCCCTCAACAAGTTAACAATTTCTATAGAGCTGTTAGAAATATCTATGAAGAAGCAACCTTTTACTCCATTGCCAATTTGCCTCTACATGATGAGGTTCTTGAGTATGCTAAGTTTGTCACCTTTGATGCAAAAGAAACAGCACTTTTCTCTGAAGTGGTGTTTTTTGTCCAAGAGTAAGAATTATAATTGCGATACAATATGCCAAAATCAACACATAGGTACCCAAATCTCCTTCCTTTCACCTCACCTTCTGAAATGAAACTTCTTTCAGAAGAATTTACCTCATTTTAATTGCTTAATAGAGAGGATGTACCAAAGAAAGTATGGGAATCTGCTGTCATCACTATGGACAATGAGACCAATATTTGTCATCACAGAATGGACCTGATTTGGGCTTACTTAGGTAGTGTCAAGAGTCTTGATGGAACTCTCTTATATGGACAACTAGCAAAAGTGGCTCAGCTTGTGTTGGTTATCCCTCACTCAAATGCTGAAGAGGAACGAGTGTTCAGTCTCATAACGAAAAACAAAACCTCATTCAAACCTAGTCTCATGTTGGACGGAACATTGTCAAGCATCATTCAGGTAAAGCTAGCCAATCCTGAGCCATGCTTCAAATATGAGCCTACCTAGAAAGTGATCAAGACTGCCAAAAAGGCTACTATGACCTATAATAGAGCTCACACATCTGGCGCTTCCCAGTCTGAGTCCATGTGAAACAATCTTTTTCTCCTGTCATCTCAATGACCTGTCACTTTTACTTGTACCAGTCTACCAGATCTATCTCTGCTTTACCAGTAATTACCACCAGATTGACCACACCCATACATAATTATTAAAATAGTTATTATACATGATGATAAAAATAATGTTAAAAGTGTTATAATACTGAAGTTTGTTGGCTCTGTAAGCACCCCTCACGCATCTGAGTTGGCTGAGGTTGGCAGCTCTGCCTCCTTTATCTGTAGACAAGTGTTTAAATGATTGTACAAGATTGTAAATCTATTTTTTAAATTTTTTTATGAAACATGAATTAAAAGCATCTCGTCAAGTCTTCTAAACTAAAGATTCAAGCCAAAATGTTGCTTTTGATGACTATTTTTGTGTACCTCTAACAACTTCACAGACTTAATCCTATAATTCTATTTTTTGTATTAGTTTAGCAGTATTATCAATTTAACTAATAGCAGTGTTCAATAATAGTTTATATTTGCTGTTTATTTTATACATAATTTTCTGTCCTGCTAATCTCACCTCGCCATCCTCATTTGGGTCACATGATCATTAAATTTGCCATGGTAACAGTTGTACTTTGGATGAGATGCATAGTGGTAGTACTGCAACTATTGCTGTTAATGCTTCTAGTGAAATAAGAAGCAATCAAGTAAGACTATGATTCAATTTTATTATTCTGGTTTCAATTTGACAGTTGGTATTATAATGCCGCGAAAATTCAGATATTTTTTGCCCAAAAAACATGCAAGAACTAAGAACTTGACCAGTCCTCAGCAGCTAACAATTTCAATCCTCATTGAAAATTGTGAATGTGCACCAGCAACCACTTTGCAAGTGTTGAAGCAGAAATGAAAAAGACTACTATTGCAGAATTGTAATACTTTAAATCTTAATCTTAGTTGTGCACCATACTCTGGCAAAATATATCCAATTGAGATGAGAGCATGATCTTTGCACTTTCAGAAAATAATGCAACTTCATGTCCAAATGTAGCAATGTATAACATTAAATGAAAGTTTCGATTAGTTACTTCATGTTAATGGAAAACTTTTAGGTAAAGAAACTGAATGTCTTGCAGTAGTAACTCAGATCCAAAGTTTTTACATCTAGCAAAAGAAAGGAATGGAAAGTTGACTGATGCAACAGGTATAAAAACATGCACATGGCATATACTGAGTTACATACATTTGTGCATGTAATAGGGAAAAAATTGTTGCCACTTGTGATGCAGCAACTGTAAGATCTACAAATTGCCCTATATTATTTCTGTCATCTGGCATTCGATGCCTCTTGTGCACTAAGCAGAGAAGAGTGTTGACATCACTTTTTCATAGACAAAACAAAACGAGAACAATCAAAAATTGCCTACAATCCAGTTCTACAACCTACAACAGCTTAACAGCATCAGAAATGAAAATCAGATTACAAAATCTTCACCATAGTCTGAGAACCAGTCAGAGTAAAGTCAGCTACTTGGAGTCAAAGCTACAAAAAGTGTTAAATGGAGAAAGGAGCGTTTTGATAGATGATGAGCATTTAAATGAGGAATTTTGAGCATAGCAAAATCAGTTGAATTAATGCAAGTTTTGTCATAGAGCTTTGAAGCAGGTAGTTTTCGCAGAATATATTGTGGGAGCAACAGAATGAAGTGTTAAGCCTCATATCAACAAAGTCAATGAGATATGATCCACTCATGAATCAATTTTGTCTCTATTTGAGGCATTTGTGCAACAAATCATATTATCTTCTCCAAGACTCTGAGGTTCTCACTTTACCTCTCTAAAAACACTAAGAGACTACACATATTATACAAAAACTACTTCAGGATTCTCAGGTATATAACTATAACATACTAGCAATAGATTTTAAATCATGCTACGCATATGATGGAGATGAACAGTGCAGAACAATGACTAAAGTGGACAACTGCATTGAAACGGATAAATATGTAGCTATATTAATGGATGAAATGAAAATCCAAGCTGACTCAGCATAAAAAATAAATACACAGGTCAGTGTTAAAACAAAAAATTAAATTATAAATTAGATCTGCATGCATGTAATTACATTCAGTAGTACACAACAACATGATCTATCATAGAGACTACATGTAAGTACAATCATATAACACAAACAGTACTATAGTTTTAGTACTAACTCTTTATTCCAACAATATTAAAATGACAGTTTGAACCCAGGTTGATAATAATTAATTAGCTGAGTCATAAAATGCACAAAACTACCCTGTTTCCTTTAGGTTCTCTAATTGGCTTTACTAAATTAGCAGATATTAACAATCACCTGAGAGATTTCGAGAATTGCCTAAAGGAAGATAAACCAATCAGTGCACTTTCTGCAACATCAATGCTAGTTCTCATGATTCGTGGTTTATATGCAACTGTAGTTTCCCATATGCTCAGTTCCCTTGTAATGAGGTATTAGGGTATCAGCTGTATCATATTATTCTGGAGAGCTGTTGGTAGGCTAGGGCTCTGCAGATTAAAAGTTATGGCACTTGTTTGTGATGGTTTGTCTGCCAACAGGAGTTTCTTTTAAAATCTTCCTCATCAGATAACACTCCTTACAAAGTCAAAAATCCATATAGTGACAGAACAGATACATCTTTATTTTTCATCCTCCTGACCCAATGAAAACTATTAGGAATGCATGAGCAAATGAATAAAAAAATTTATGGGTCAATAGAATATTCATGCATTTTAGAGTTTTTTAAAAAAATAGTGCAATTGTAAATCAATATCATGGGATGACTTGAATACTTTATATGAAAAGAACAGATCAGAGATGTGCCTGTAATTGATTCCAAAATTAAAGTATGAGCATATTTACTTGACAACTTTCTCAAAGATGAGGGTTGACCTTGCTACTCAGGTTGAGCAGGTATAAATGTACATGCAATTATCATGCTAAATTTTTCTGATACATGTCCTTAGTTCCTCAGTTCCTAAAGCATTGACCCTATTTGTTGGAGAAGAGGCCATGGAAACTGCTAAATTCTCTGACATGTTTTGATACATTCTTTGATAGTCTGAATATCTCCAATTTTTCTGAGGGTAAGTTTTCTCGCAACTCTTTCAAGACCCCATACTATTCAGCAAATGATTTTCAATTAAATGTCAGAAAAAAGCCTCCATTACAATTAATTTTATGCTTTACATTCATAATATTAATTATTATAATTCATAGTGGTTAAGGGAGGACTTTTTAGAATACTTGAAAGAGCGAGAAAGAAGTGTCATGGAGAGAAGGAACTTCACAAAAATGAGCGAAACCAAATGTTATTGAGTAAAGAAACAAGAGAGGGC